TGGCTATGGTAGCTGCTGGTTTGAAGTTTTCCAGTGCTGGGCAACGCTGGGAGGCGAGCCCCCGTCGTTACAGCAAATGATGCTGCGCTGCAAAACAGGAAACCGCACTCCCAGCCGCTGTGGGCTCTGGAGGAGCAAAGGGAGTCGCAGCCCTGCTCGGAGGACGCCAAGGATGCCGCTAATAGCTGTGGTATGGCAGTGAGGCGCCGAGATCCAGAGCCCCGGCTCTGTCCTGCTCCGCGCTCTTGCCCTGCGCTGGCTGAGCAGCGCCTTCCCCGAGCCTTGCGCACCCTCCCGGGCTGCAGTGCCTCAGGGTGAGAGTGCAGCAGCTCCAGTGGCCTCCGTGGCCGTTTTCAGGGGGCAGAGCAGACCCTGTTCCCTAGAGCAGCCTGTGGGCAGCAGGATGAGCCTCAGCATTTAGCATAAGCGGCTGTGCCCAGGGACTCATCCCTTAACTGCACCAGCCTGGTCCCAAGCGCATCCCATGCCTCGCTCCCCTCCCGCGAGCTGGGTGCACAGTGGGGCTAGGGAGTGCCTTGCAGCTCTTCCCCACGAGCAAGGCCATGTCTGCTGCGACAGCTTTCTCCTTTGGCTTTTCTTGGCTGCTCTCTCTAAGGGGCCAGCTGAACCCCTTCACTTTGGGAGATGCTGCAGGGTGATTGAAGGTGCAGGAGGCGCCTGCCAGCAGGGCTGCAGTGCTCTGGGAAAACACAGTGCTGAGCTCCCCTTTGCTTTCCCCACAGGCTCTATGGAGCGGAGTGGCTGGGTCCTGCTGCTTGTGGGCTTCCATATGGCCTGGGTCGCCTGGGCCCAGTGCCCAGAGCTGTGCCAGTGTGTCCGCACCGCCCAGGTGGAGTGCTCCGGTGCCAGCATCGCCACTGTCCCCAGCCCCATCCCTGAAAACACCATGACCCTGCAAATCATCAACACGCGCATCACGGAGCTGGGCGCCGCGTCCTTCGGCAACGCCTCCATGCTGATCGGGCTGCGTATCGAGAAGAACGACCTGTCGCGCATCAGTCCCAGAGCCTTCCAGTACCTGCCCTCCCTGCGCTACCTCAGCCTGGCCAGCAACAAGCTGCAGGAACTGCCTGTGGAAGTGTTCGAGCCCTTGGGCCAGCTGGAGTCGCTGCTCCTGTCCAGCAACCAGATCCTCCGCGTTGAGCCCTCCCACTTCGCCCAGCTGAGCAACCTCAAAGAGCTGCAGCTGCACGGCAACAACCTGCAAGAGCTGACGGAGGGGGTCTTTGACCCGCTCACCAGCCTCACCAAACTGAACCTGGCCAGGAACAACATCGACCACCTGCCACCCCAGGCCTTTGAGAGGCTGACGCGACTCCAGGTGCTGCGGCTCTACGAGAACCAGCTCCGGCAGATCCCTGTGGGCACCTTCGATGGGCTGCCAGAGCTGGAAGAGCTGGGGCTGCACCAGAACCAGCTGGAGACACTGTCCCCAGAGCTCTTCATGCACAACGAGCGCCTCCAGAAGCTGTACCTCTCCAACAACCTCATCACTGCCCTGCCCAGTGGTGTCTTCTTGCCCTTGCGCGCCCTCTCCAAGATCACCCTGCATGTCAACCGGCTGCGGGAGATTGCCCCCGGTGCCTTTGGGCCCATGCCCAACCTGAAGGAGTTGTGGCTCTACGACAACCAGCTCACTGCCTTCCCCAATGGGGTCTTCAGCAACCTTACCCAGCTGCAGCTCCTGGTGCTGAGCAAGAACCAACTGCGCTCCGTCTCGGCGGGAGCTTTCCAGGGCCTGGGTGAACTGCTGGAGCTGTCGCTGCACTCCAACGCACTACAGCGCCTAGATGCCGAGGCTTTCCGGGGGCTGCCCAAGCTGCAGAACATCTCACTGCAGAACAACCAGCTGCGGGCACTGCCGCGGAGCCTCTTTGAGGCCGCACCGGCGCTGAGGAAGGTGCAGCTGCAGGGCAATGTCCTTGAGTACCTGCCAGCAGGCATCTTCGCCCCGCTGGCTGCCTTGCGGGAGGTGAGGCTGCACAATAACTCCTGGCACTGCGATGAGAAGATCCTCTCCCTCAAGACCTGGCTGGAAGCCAACCAGGACAAGGTGGGCGAGATCCCCTCCCATTGTGGGGCTGCGGCGTGACCAGCTGCTCTCTGACGGGCTGCCCATGACGGCCGAGCCAGAGAGCTTCACAGCCACCTCGCGCCCCAGCACCCCGCTCTCTGCCCATCCCTCCAAGCTGGCCCCCACGGCTACGGAGACAGGGCGCCCTACAGGGCTGCCGGCCGCCCCTCGCCTCGCGGAGGAGGAGGAGGAGAGGGGGCAGTGGGGGCTGACACGGGCACAGAGTGGGGTGGTGGTGGCAGTCATCGTGCTGGTGTGCGTGGCCCTGCTCTGTGCCCTTGTGGCACTGGTGGCCTACAGCTGTAGGAAGAAGAGCCAAGTTGTGCTCATGAGGATGAAGGCACCTAACGAAGCCTGAGCACATGGTGGCCCGCAAACTCTTGGGGGAGTGGTGCTAGTGAGGCAAACCCTTGGTGAAGCCCACGTCCGGGCTGAGCTGCCCGGCAGCAATCCTGCATCAGCTGCAGTGGACAAGTTGGATGGACCAGCATCACCCCACATCCCCTGTGCTGCTCTGCTTTGCCTTGTGCAGGCCCTCCTCTGCAGTGGGGTGAAACCCCCAGGTTGACCTCAATCCTATTCAGCCCCCGCCTCCAGCACGGCCTCTGTGCCGGTTCCCCTGTACTCTGGCATGTCCCTGGGGCCCATCAGGCACGGTGCGGGGTGCTGTGAGGGGAGGTGGAGCCCCCCAGGGGCTGCTCAGGGCACAGCAGGGGTCTGCAGCCTAGCTGTGGTGGTGCTTTCCTGGAGCAAGGGGGGCATGGTGCCCCCCTTGCCCATCCTTTGCCTCACGTTGCCTCCTGAGCAACGCCTGCTGTTTGCCCCAGCGCTGCCTGCTGCCCTGCCCCAGTTCCCGGTGCCTCGTGCATTTGCTGCTCTCCCGCCCTGTGCCTGGGGATACAGGGTGCTAAACCATTGTGCAGTGCTGGGGAGCGCAGCAGGAGCTTTCGCCCCAAGCAGAGCTACGTGTCCTTGTGCTGGTTTGCAGCCTGTGGGCCTCCAGGCAGGGATCCCCTGGGGCAGGGCTCTCTGTGCCTTGGCCCTGTGCCCAGGTGGGGCTCCTGGCCGCTGAGACGCTCCTTGGTGCTACTGCAGCCTGCACAGAGTAACTTGGCTGTCTCTGAGCTGCCCTCCCTGCCCGCAGGCAGCACAGGGTTGAGAAGAGCAGCATCTTCCCCAAGCCCCATCCTGAGAAATGTCCTGACCCCAACGCACTTGTGCTGCGTGGGAGTGTGCATATGGCCTGGGCACAGCAGCAAACCTCCACAGCCAGGGCCTGAGCCCCGTGGTAGGCAGGTAGGCTAGCCTTCCTGAGGCTGTGCTGCCACCTCTAGCTCACAGCGTGCTGGCCTGGGGGTTACAAGGAGGTCATTGGGAGAGGTCAAGGGAAGCGCTAGTGGCTGGGAGATCAGCGAGGAGCACACATGGAGCTGGACCAGATGTCTGGCCATGCCAGCTGGCCCTCGCCCAAGGGAGCACTTTGCAAAGCCCCTTCCCCTGCGTGGGCCCCTCTCCCTGGGACAAGAAGAGGCTCCCTGCACTTGTGCACCAGTCAGGCACGGCTGCTAGAGCATCCCAGGGCTGCAGCCCAGCAGGACCCGGTCCAGCTCACCTCTGCAAGTGATCCCGCAGCACTGTGACGGTGCTGGGCCATGCCAGGGAACGTCACTGTGGCTGTGCGAGTGCTAGGGGAGCTCCCTGGTATCTGCCAGTCTCCCTGCCCCTGCGTGCCCCCCTCGGTGCCCGCAGGCCCTGCGCTCACACGCTGGGGTGCTCCTCCTGACTCACACCTGCAGAATAGCCTGGAAACATGGGAATATGCATCTGTGCTGTTCAGTACCTGCTCTGTAACCTCTCCGATTAAAGTGCAATTGTCCATCTCTAATTCCAAGAATTGTTTGTTTGCTCCTATGCATTAGGTGGCCTTGTGCCCTTGAAATAACACAGCTGGGATGGGAGTTTTGCATTATTTCCTCTCCTAAAAGATTTTTTTGTTTTGAGAAAAAGCCCACAGAGGCTGGCTGGCGTGGGAGAGAGTTAGCAGCCTGCGGTCCTGGAGTCTGGACTGGCCTGAGGTCCAGGCTGGGAGAAGGGACCCAGTAGCTTCCAGGCTGTGGGAGGTCCCAGCCATATGAAAACAGGAGGGTGGCTTTCAGAGAGTGAGCTGAGACCTCCATCAGCTTCCCCGTAGAGATGCCTCCTGCACAGCCCCCTCTTGAGAGCATGGTTCAGCGAGTTTACCAGGCTTGGCCCTGGACTGGGGGAGCTCGCTCAGCTCTCTTTAGAGCCAGCTGCTGATAGCCGGGGAGGCCTGCTCTTCTGACCCAGCTGAGTTTCTATATACCTAAGCAACCTGGATCCAACTGTCCAGCTGAATCCACGTTAAGTCTCCTTAAGGATCCTGGTAGCAGCATCCAGCTCCGCCAGGTAGGTGGTAAGCTCTTGGGGTCCTGGCTGGTCTATGGGCTCCTTCTGGCCGTCCCACCGCTGGCCGGCCTCATGTCAGCATCCTAGGCTGGAATGCTCTTAATGTACGCAATGGATTAAGGTGGCTCTGCCCTCCAAGCTGCACTATGATGATCTCAGAGCCTTACTGGGCACACTGCCTCACTGTAGCATGGATTTGCCTTGCTAAGCCTTGCCTGAGCCCCTCTCTCTTGTGCAAGGGCACGTTGGTGCCATTTCTCAATGATATTTATTAGAGTCCAGGAAGGCTGTTGGAGAGCTGCTTCGAGCAAATGTGTTGACTCTTGGTGTGGGATGGGTGTCACTGTTGCCAGCAATGCCCTGCCGCTGTCCTGAGACCGACGCACCTTCTGGGATGTGACACCATTTCCCTGTCAGGATGCTCACTCACTGCTGCTTTTATTCTGATCCCTGAGTGCATTCACCTCAGTTCCCGCTGGGGCCGGGTTATTTCTAAAGTGCTCCAAGGACGCGGGTTGTTGTTGCCGATAAGCAGAAATGGGCAGCTCCGCCCCAGCAGGGACATTTCGTCAGCTGGCGTCAACATCCGCCCCAGAAAACATCTTCCTTTCTGGAGGAGTTTCGCTCTTGCAAATTCGCAGCAGACCCGGTTGCGATACCCATGATGCTGTTCTTGGTAAGTGGCAGCTGTTTGGTTCAGGTAGCTGGGGATGTGGGTTTGCCAAGGGGCCTGGGCTCGCTAGGAACTGCTTTTGGTTTGTGTGAAAGTATTTTAGAAGGTAGAAAGGAAAAGACAGGCCTAATTCTGCTGTCAAACACTAGTGTAAATCCAGAGCACCTCTCACTTGAATGGGATTTGTCCAGGTTGCCGTCACTGCGAAGAGGAGCATTATTCGGCTCCTGGCGATCTGCACACTTCCAGCTTTCTGGCAGCGCCAACCTGTGTCCGGAGCACAGTGACACTGGCTCTGGCCTGGAGGCCGCTGCTCCACCCAGGCCGTCTCATAGTGCCTCTCTGGCCCCGCGTGGGCTGAGAACAAGCACACGGTCCATTAAATATCCCACAGCCATGGGTGCTGCTGCTCAGGTCACCTGGGGCTGCCTGAGCTCCTGGGGCACCAAGACCTGTGCCAAACTGTCCCGCCTGCCGGTGCTGGGCTGGAAAGTTTGGCTGGGTCTATATAGGACCCCAGTCCCGATCCGAAGCCCTTCTGAAGGATGCTTTGAGCAGCTGTTATGCTGCCTGGGGATCTGTCTGCGTGCACACTGCCCTGCAAGCATGCAAAGTGCCCCTGGGCATTTCAGCTCTTACCCCTTACACACCCTCCCACACACATACACCCCTCATTGCAAGCTCTGGGTTGGAAATTTTACTAGGAAATAGAAGTACATAACAGACATTTAGAAATACAGCCCATGGAGCCTGCTCACTTTGGGACTAAACATTGATTTGGCCTGGCCTGCTCTGCAGTACTGTCCCTGCCAACCAGTACATGTCACTCTCTGCACCACTTCACACATGCCCTCCAACTCCTAGAGTCCCAATCAGTGCCCACAGCGGCTCCAGAGGTGTATGGGAGCTCCTCCATGGCCTCAAGGAGACCATGGAGGCCCTGCTTTGGCCGTGGCTCTGCAGGATGCGGGGCCTGCTGGCCACAGCCTTGGTTGGCACAAGCTAAGTGCAGGGCTGGGGCGCAGGTGGAAAAGCGTGGATGCGCTGCATGGGAGGGAGCTGGGAGCGAAGTTCCCTGCTCCTGTGAAGGCTATGCAAGGGCAGTGCTGGGGTGGTCTGTGGGACGTGGCTGAGGGGACACCCTCACATGCTGTGCAGCCTGGGGGAGGATCAGCCTGTGCCAGCACGGCCAGACAGGGTTATGCCTGCTGTATTTCTCAGCACAAAAGCCTCTTTCTCTGGCAGCAGCTGCCCACAAGAAAGGCTGCAGCTTGTGGGGTGCTGTTTTTTTGTCCCTCCGAAGCAGTGTGTGGGGCAAGGCTGGCCCCCGCCACGGTGCAGGAACAAACCTTGGGTCCTTCTCCAGTGCAGGGTGATGATGTACGCAGTGCTGGGACTGGGGTTCCTGCTGGTGGGGGGGCTCCCCCAGCCCTGCCCTCCATCCTGCCAGTGCTACGACGTCTCCAAAGTCTTCTGCTCGGAGGAGAGGATGCAGGAGATCCCCGCGGGCCTCCCGGGGAACGCCACTCAGCTCTTCTTTGTGGAGACGGCCCTGAGCAGCCTCCGCAGTGGGGTCCTGGGCTCCAGCACCACTCTCACCAAGCTGGTTTTCCTTAACAACAACATCCAGGTGCTGGAGGCTGGGACATTTCAGGGGCTGCCCAACCTCACGGAGCTGGAGGTCTCAGGCAACCCACTGTCGGCAGTCAGCCCCAGGCTCTTGGCTGGCCTGCCCAGCCTCAGCAAGCTCTCCCTGGGCTCCAACACCATCCGCTCCCTGGAGCCAGGGCTCTTCAGTGCCGTGGGTTCCCTGCAGGACCTGCGTTTGCGGAGGAACAAGATCGAGGCACTGCCCCCCGAGATCTTCCGCCCGCTCTGGCGCCTCCAGACCTTGGACCTCTCCCAGAACGCCGTGGCCGAGCTGCCGCCCGGGCTTTTCGCCCCCCTCACCTCCCTCCGTGTCCTGAAGCTGAGCGACAACCTGCTGACCCGGGTGCCACCCGATGCCTTTGGCGGCCTGGGTC